GGCTGTGCCGCGCGAGGCGGCCTGGGCAGCAGTGCGTCTGCCGTTGGGACCTACGCCTGATCCTCTCTCTCTCTCTCTCTCTCTCTGCCGCGGGGGCGTGGCTGCCTCAGTAGGGGACACGACACACACACCAGATTGGGGGAGCTGTGAACATACAACTGAAAGAATTGCCAGAGACGCGTCGCTGCCTCAGAGCGCCAAGAGGTGGACGTGGAAGTTGACACCTGAACAGACGGACACGGTGCTTCGCCACAGATAATGCCTCGCGCGACAGGCGAGGACACGTCCGTCCTCACGACGAACACGGGCACCACTGCGAAGGACTCCATAAAGGTCGCCGTGCGGGTTCGACCGTTGAACACCCGCGAGACAACGGCCGGACTGCCTCTGTCTGTCAAGGCCAACAGCGACCGCGCAACAGTGACGATCATCAATGCTCAGCAACGGGGCAACGCCAGTACGGAAAGGAAGTCGTTCCAGTTCGACAACGTGTTCTGGTCGCTGGACTGCCCCGACGAGGGCGGCGGCGAGCCGGTGGGGCAGGTCGAGGTGTACCACGCGATTGGGCGTCCGCTGGTGGCGCACGCGTTCAACGGGTTCAACTCATGCCTGTTCGCCTACGGGCAGACCGGGAGCGGCAAGACGTACACGATGATGGGCGGCGACCCAAACGCGCTGGGCGGCGCCGACGCCGGCGTGACGCCGCGGCTGTGCCTGGAGCTGTTTCGCACGCGTGAGCGCCTCGAGGCGGAGGGGCACTCGAAGTGGGCGGTGGAGGTGGGGTACGTCGAGGTGTACAACGAGCGCGTGTCGGACCTGCTGGCGAGGCGGGGGAAGGGCGCGAAGGAGGAGGTGTTTGTGGAGGTGCGCGAGCACCCGACGCGCGGTGTGTTCATCGAGGGGCAGGAGGTGCGCGAGGTGGCGGGCCTGGAGGACGTTGTGGCGCTGATCGAGGCCGGCAACCGCGTGCGCCACACGGCCGCGACGAAGATGAACGACCGCAGCAGCCGCAGCCACGCGATCTTCATGCTGATGCTGCGCGAGGAGCGGTCGATGCAGACGGCGACGGGGCAGACCATCACGACGGCCGGCAAGAACAGCCGGATGAACCTTGTGGACCTTGCGGGGTCTGAGCGCGTGGCGCAGTCCGAGGTTGTTGGGCAGCAGTTCAGCGAGGCGCGGCACATCAACCTCTCGCTGACGACGCTGGGGCGCGTGATTGACATGCTGGCCGACATGTCGAAGAACAAGGACAGCCAGTGGTCGATGCCGCCGTACCGCGAGTCGAAGCTGACGTACATTCTGAAGGATTCCCTCGGCGGCAACTCGAAGACGTTCATGATAGCGACGGTGAGCCCGAGCGGGCTGAACTACGAAGAGACGCTGAGCACGCTGCGCTACGCGTCGCGTGCGCGCGACATTGTGAACGTGGCGAGGGTGAACGAGGACCCGCGCGCCCGGCGCATCCGGGAGCTGGAGGAGCAGATGGAGCAGATGCGGAGGGACATCCAGGGCAAGGACCCCGCGTACGTCGCCGAGCTGGAGGAGAAGCTGAGGCTGCTGGAGGCGGAGGCTCAGAAGCGGGCGGCGGACCTGCAGGCGCTGGAGAAGGAGCGGGAGAAGAACGAGATCCGCGAGAAGATGCTGCGTGCGACGGAGGCCGAGCGGCAGGAGCTGCTGCGCCGGGCCGGCGTTCTGAAGCGGGAGCTGGAGGAGTCACGGCGGCAAGCAGCAGAGTTATCGCGTAACAAGGATAGACTACTGCGTGAGCAGGCCGAGAAGGAGCGCCGCCTGATGGAGGAGATGCAGCGTCGGGAGGTTTCGATTGAGGCACACAAGGGGGAGTGGGTGAGCGCGCTGGAGGCGGAGCAGTCGTCGGTGCTTAAGCTGCGTCGCGAGTGTGACTTGTATCGCATGCAGCTGGCGGAGATGGAGGCTCGCCACGGTGAGGCGCTGGTGCACATGGAGCGTCGGCTGGAGCTGGTGGCGTTGGCCTACCAGCAAAGCGCGGAGTGCGCCCTCGTCCCCGTGCTGGCGCAAAAACGGGAGGCGGAGGCAAAGTTGGTCGCTTCGATGGAGGCTCTGCAGAAGGAGCAGCAGGCGGTCGCCGGCGAGTGTGCGCGGCTCTCGGCGGCGCTGCGGGAGGCGGAGGTCAAAGGCGGCGCACTGGACGCAGTGAACGCGTCCCTCACGGGGCAGATGTTGCAGCTGCAGGAGGAGGTGTCCGGCCTGCGGGGGCGGCTCGCAGACACCGCGGCGGATCGTGACGCGCTTGCCGCGAACCTCACGGCGGTGGAGGCTGCGCGGGCCGAACTTGAGGACCTACACCGCGACACCAGGGACGAGTGTGAGGCGCTGCAGCGGAAACTCACCGCGCCCCCAGTGCGCACTCGCCACCACAAAAAATTCGGCGGCGAAGAGTGGGACGTTTTGCTGCACGGCCGGCCTGCTGAGCTGCTAGAGGTCTTCGCGGCGGAGGTGAGTGCGGCCTGCAAGGTGCCGACGGATTCCGTTGCAAACGTGACGTTTGCGCTCGGCAGCCTCGAATGCGACTTCGACGTCATACACGCCGCGGATAGAACTAAAGACGAGCTCGATATATGCATCGCCCAGCACCCCTTCGACCGCCTGCAGCAACTCTACGATGACCGCTACGGGGCTAAGAAGGGCATTGACAGGGCCAACGAAGAAATACAGCGACTAGAGGCTGAACGCGACACCTTCACTAGGGACATTGGCGACCTCACCGAGAAGATCGACAGCCTGGAAAAACAAAACGACTGCCTACGGGGCGAACTCGCGAAAGAAAAACACGACGGTGCCACCCTACAACTTCAACTAGAAACACTAGAAAAAAATAATACCAGAACAACTCTGCTACTCCAAAAAGCTACAGAAAGCATGGAGAATCTCAGCAGCGACATGCGAAAAGTAAAGGCCGCCAAGGACGAGGTGGAGAGGAGCCTCGAGGCGATGACGGCCGAGCGCGACGAGCTGACGGAGAAGCTGCGGGCCTCCGAGGACGCCAAGGACGAGGTGGCGAGGAGCCTCGAGGCGATGACGGCCGAGCGCGACGAGCTGGCGGAGAAGCTGCGGGCCACTGAGGCGCCAAAGGGCGAGGTGGCGAGGNGCCTCGGAGGCG